CTATAGGGCTATAGAGCAATAGGGCTATAGAGTTGTAAGGCTATATGGCTATAGGGCACCCCCGGGCACCCCCAGGCACCCCCGGGCACCCCCAGGTAACCCGGGCACGCCCGGGCACCCGGGCACCAAGGCGCCCCCAGGCACGCCCGGGCACCCGGGCGCCCCCGGGCGCCTGGGCACCCGGGCGCGCCGTAAAATCGGCGACGAGCCTAACCTAACCATATGAATCCGCTACGACCCCCACAGAGGCAAGCTCTGACTGGGGATTAAGACCCCCCGCCGCCCCCCCCCCCCCCCTTCCGGAATTGGCGGGGCTGAAACGGCATTCCCCCCGCCCCATCCCATGCGCATGCTACTACTGGCACGCGCCAGTTTTCAAGAACAGGCATCACTAATCCCTTGCGCAAGTGTGAGGAAGTGCATGCGAGCGCGTCGCGTCGCCGCGTGCCGAATTCCTTCGAAAGCCTTAGGTGTCGCGAGAATGTCAAGATCGAATGGCTCTCCAAGAAACCACTGTGTTTCATTCGCGCGCGACCGGGGCGGCCTCTCTCGCGCGCGCCGAGATCGCCCGGGCGCCCTCGCGCGCGCGCCGTCGAGCGCGCGCGCAGGAATCTTGCGAACGAGTAGTATTTCGCACGGATTTCAAATTCGACTGGCCCGATTTCCTTGCTTCTATCAAGTGTAGGCATGGCTTTACAACGCCAGCCTTCAGCGGTTAGTCCTCGCCTTCAGCTTGCAGCTGTGCAGCGCCGTCAATTAGAGGCTTCTAATTCAATGAGTTCCAAATGCGAAGTCCATGGGGGACCATGGGCGATTCAATATTCACATTCAATTCGGCCGAGCGGCTCTCGCACCGCAAGTCGGAATCATTCGAGCGCCCTGGCGCGCGTGCCTGGGAGGGGCGCCCGTGTCAAATGAAATGATGCCGCGCGGGCCGCTCTCGCGCGTCGGCCGCGCGCGCGCGTCGGGCGCCATTCCAGCCCTTCATCGCCGACGGGAGGGCGCCTTTATCGCTGCCGCCATGGTCGTCGCGGGCGCCGTCAATGACCGCGCCGTCGCCGTTGCAATTTTCATCGCCAGCGTCGCTGCTGTCATCGTCGCGCCTACTGTTGTCGACGTCGCCGCGATGCCGCGCCCGCCCAAGTCGCCGACTCGCACTGCAGCGTCCGCTGGGGAGCGCTCGGTGGTCACCGCCGCCGCGGCCGCGTCGGTCGCGCCAGACTAGCTGGCCATTGCGCGCGCGAGCGCGCGCGCTAGCGAGGCCGCAGAGATGCGCCGGCCAACGGCAAGCGCTCATCGCAATCGCCGCCGCGCGGGCATTGCAAACCAAGTTGCGGGCGGGCGGGCGGGGTGATTTCGGGGGACGTGGCGTTCGCAACTGACCGCGAACAGAAATTATTTTTTCAATGTGAAGAATGAACACCCCACCGCCCCCCCCCCCCCCCCCCTGACTTAATGGCGCGCCATTTCGCGTTGCAATTTGCGTGTGATCCCGCCCCATTGCCCATCAAACATGCGACGTCATATCATCCCGGCCAGGCTGGCATCGGCCCCCCATGCTTCCCCCGTAACAAATACTATGCGCGCGCGCTCGCTTGCCAGAAACAATCAACTTCCAATATTCTATGGCGAAAACAAGAAACAATAAAACATTGCGCGCGCGCCGTTGCGCGCATGCCAGAATCCTCCCATCAATAGAAAGGTGCCGCAAGGATTTCAAAGTCGAGAATGACAAATACAGATAAAACACAACTGGTTTCGCAACGGAGATTTCAACCATGAACAGCCCGCGCCCGCGCCCTTGCGAATCCTTAAGAAAACAAGCGCTATTTCGGGTTTGGTATTTCATATATGTCACCGCGCGGGCCTTTCGAGCGCGCGTCGAAATCGCTCGAGTGCCCTTGCGCGCGTGCTGCCGCGAGAACCCCCGTCAACAAATGGGGTGAAGCGCCAGCGCGCATGCCGGAATCCTTCAAAAACCATAGGCTTCGTAAGGATTCCAAAGCCGAGTGACTCGAGAACGAATAAATTCACGTGGTTTTGCAACGTCAGCTTTCGTTCGAAAGCCATTGCGCGCGTGCTTGGGCGGGGGTGCGCGATCCGCGTCCAATGGTGCCAAGCAGGCCGCTCGCGCGCGTCGGCCGCGCGCGCATGTCGAACTCCCTCGGAAGCCTTCATCGCCGACGCGAGGACAACATCATCGTTATCGGCAGGCGTGATCAACATCGCCGCCGTCACTGGCCTTGCCGTCGTCATCGCCACCATCGCCACCATCACCGCTACTCTCATAGTGGTGTCTACATGTGTCGGCGTCACCATGATACCGCGCCCACGGAAGTCACCGACTCGCACTGAAGTGCCCACCGGGGAGCGCTCGGCGGTCAGCGCCACCGCGGCCGCGCCGGCCGCGCCGAACTACCTGGCCGCTGTGCGCGCGGCCATTCGCGGGCTAGCGCGGCCGCAAATATGCACCAGCCAACGCCAAGCGTTCATCGCAATCGCCACCGAATGGGTCATTCAAACCAAGTTGCCCGTGGGTGGGTGGGGTGTTTGCAAGGGCGTGGAACTTGTCAACTCATTTGTGAAAACCACACCACGTATATTGCACCACGTGGGTGGCACAACATCGATTGCTCCACCGATACTGCTGGAGACACACTGTTTCGGGTCCGCGCTGGCTAGCAGCTATTGTTGTAATTGCGCAAACTATTGAACTAGTCGTGCCTATTCGGAATTCCGAAAACCACAGACGGCCGAAGAGGCCTGCAATATGGCCCTAGGACGGCCAAGGGGCACGATGAGGGCTCCATGGCCCATGAGGCCCCAAGACGGCCTGCAGAATGGCCCATGAGGGCCCCATGATAATCAGCCTCGAAGGCCTCCGAGGCCTGAGGCAGCTCCAGTAGGGCCGCACTCGGGCTCCAATGCGGCTTACGAGATCTCCACTGCAGCGCTGAAGCACCCAATACGTCCCCAAGACGGCCCAGACGTACCCCGAAATTGGACGGTCTCCGAAGGCACCAGACAAGCCAACAGCGTCCCAGAACAACCGGAAACGGCCCCGAAGAGGCCCCGAGAGGCCCCTGGGAAGCCCCCAGGCGGCCCCCGTTCCAGCGCGGCGGAGGAATCGCGCGGCAGCGCGACTGGATATATATATATATATATATATACACACACATATACATATATACATATTTAGATATAGATGTTGCTGCTGGACATGCCTGTCTGCTCGGCGAAGCTTGTCTATTCAGACGGTGCTGCACCTTGGGATGAAATCGTGGCACACGTCTTACTCGGTGTTTTGGCGAGGGCCACCTAGTATGCCGAAGGCCGCTTCGGCATGAGCTCGCATCGGCGCGAACGCGGGAGAACCTCTGTGAAGCTCCACGTGCAGGGTTTACGAAAGGGGAGTTCATTTCGATATCGCGGGTTCCACAGCATGTAGGAGCAACGGACATGTTTTGTCCACTGGCGATCACAAGGGAAAGTGTTGGAGGGGGCCAGTAACATCACGATTCGCAGCGACATCGTGTGAACATGATCGGCCCACGAACCCAGAAAGGAAATTGGAAACGCGAGGCATGGCTGCGTCTCCTAGACACCTGATTGGGCGACAGGCAATTGCAATGCCGAAGGTATCGATCGTCATGTACTGTGCCAGTGATTGTGCTGTGCTGTGCCGTGCGGAAGTGAGGTGTGTTCTGCCGCGATGCGTTGCGTTGTGCTCTATAGCGCTGTAGATCAAGTCGCCTTTGGCATTCGAATCCTGCCCGAACTAATCGGGGTCTCAAGCTCGAGCTGCCTGAGCGCATAGCTGGCCCTAAGCTGGTTGCACTCGAAACGTGTGGGACGCTCAGCCAGCTCGAGCTCAAGATCCGACTCAGTTCGGGACGAGACGACACGGGGCGCAGGGCGCATGGACATATGCCAGGAACGCACTAGGGAATGCGCCAAGGGACGTGTCAGAGGACGTGGCAAGGGACGCGCCACGGAACGGGCAGGGAAAGCGCCAGGGGACAAGCCAAAGAACGCGACAGAGGACGAGCCAAGGGACGCGCCGAGGGGGGAAGGGCACACACCGTCCCGCTCTGGGGCGTTAGAAACCCACGTGATGTAACGCTTGTTCCGCTCTAGGGCGTTAGAAACCCACGTTTTGTCGCGCTTGTCCCGCTCTGGGGCGTTCAGAACCAATTTTTTTCTCGCTTCTCCCACTCTGGGGTGTTAGGAACCCGCGTGTTTTCACGCTTGTCCCGCCTTGGGGCGGTTAGGAACCCACGCGTTGTTCTGCTCCCAGGGCCACGATCCCTCGTAAATGACGGTCCCACCGCACTCCCAGAATCACTTTAGCATCCTGGGGCGCCCAGGCCTTCCAAGCGCTGCAGAACTCGCTTGAGACATCCTCAGATTCTCGGCACGCAGGGCGCGCCATCCTCGAGCGGGCGCGCAGAAAACAGATAGTCGGTCTGCAGAACACGCGCGCGCGGGGCTCGAGAAATTCTGGAGCAACCTGCGCGCCGGGCGCGCCGTCCTCGAGCGGGCATGCAACAAGTCAACATTCTGTCACTTTTACAATTCCAGGGTCTGCGAACATCATTATTGATAGAAATGTTTGCGCAAAACGCTTTGCATTTTCTTTTGTAGGAAGGAAAATAAGGGTCTGCAGACCCCGTTATTATCCAGGATCCGAGATGGGGGGCGCACGTTTTCTCGAGCGGGCATTCGCGAAGCGCACTTGTTGAAAACAAGATGGGGCTTTATCATCGATTTTCGCCGGTCCTTGCCCAACATGGCCGGGGGGTAGACCTCTGCAAGAGAACCCTGTGCCGGCGCCACTTCTGGGAAACAAATGCAGTGAGGGCTAATTCTCAGACGGCGCAGCCGCGAATCGTGACGTGATCCTGGGTGAGAGCGGCTGGGCGCGTAACGTACAGGAAACGTGCTCCAGAGAGCCATTTCCCTCGGTCACCGAGGAAACGAGGCGGCGCGTGGGGCCTCTCCTGCGGCGGTGGGTGAGGTGGCCGTTGCGCATCAGCTGAACGTGATAGCTGCCCCCGACAGGATCGAAACTGGTGACGATGGCCTGGCACGCAGGCGGTCGCTTACCTTCCCGTAGCTCCTGGCGCCCTGCCCTGCCTCCTACACCCCAGCAAGTCTATAGTAGGCATCGGGCCAGGGCATACATATCTCGGGGCATGGGGTGAGGCCCGCCCGCGCTCAAGGTCTGAGCGTTCTGAACTCAGCTGCCTCGTGTCGACTGCATAGCGATGAGCAGGTCGCCGCGAGTGCATCCGACCCGCGGAGCATCGCCATGCCGCGGCGGGGAGGAGAATGCGGAGGGGGAACGTCTGCATGCCGTCTTGCCCGGCAGGGCTCCTGTGGCCGGGAGGGTGAGAAGCGAGGAAGGCGATGGAGGGAATGAAAGGGGGACTGGGGCGACAAGGGGGGACAGCAGACAAGGCTTCTGACGCTGTGATCTTGCGCGACGTGGTCCCAAACCGGGTGTTCTGTAGCAGGGGCGGCACAAACGTGGGGCGAAGGAACGCGCACCTTCCATCTACCTGATGGGCCCGCGGTGGTAACTTAGGCGCCGTCTCATGCCCCAAGGCAGATACTTTCGTGCAAACCTCGATCCCCCGATCCCCCCCACCGTTTAGTGCCCCCCGTTGCCGCCCGCCCGAGCCCCAGAGACCACGACCCCATCCCTCATGCCCGGGCCGCGAGAAGAACGCCCCCCCCCCCCTCGAGACCGACATCACGAAGACCCGTCTGCCGCATTTCGTGGCACTGCGCAGCATTCTGAAACAATACCACACGAAACATGTTTGTTTACAGCCTATAAGACAGTCCGAGAGGGGAGGAGGGGAGGAGGAGGAGGAGGAGAAGGAGAAGGAGGAGGAGGGGGACCAATGTAAACCCAAGGCCCATCAACAATGTTTGAATCAACTCTTCCTCCAAGCTCCCTCTTCACAGGCCCCTGCAAGGTTTCATTTCTACTGAGGGACGTGCCCCGTGGGGAGACAACCGTTTGAAGATCCTGTAGCGTGACAAAACACTGGACATCAACGGAACGAATCAACCTGACGTTTGCGTCTCGACTATCCTGAACCGTGCCAGAATACCATTCCTGGGACTTCAGCACTGGAAATCCGTGTGACTGCGGCGCCCTGACAACCCCGAATCGCTCCAAAACGCCAATTCTGGTACGTGAGCCATGTAAACGACTGAAACTCTTGCAAATGCCGAGAACTACATTTAGAAAAACCACCCGCCCCCAATCCGGGAAACTCTTGCATGTTTAACGAATGTGCGCGGCGCGAAGGCGAGAGCCACATTTTGGAGGCGACCCGCCCTCAATCCGTGAAGCTCTTTCCAACTTCCAAACTTCAAGGCCATAAAATGGCACAAGAGAACCTCGAGCGAAACGCCTGGACCGCACTTCCGATCGGCCTCGAGGCACGGCCCTCACCGCTGCTTCGCGCCCTGGCCCTCGCAGGCAAGGCGGCCAACGTTCCAGACCCGTGCCGCCAGCGAGGTGCCACGCCGTGAAAAACGGTATCCGCAACGGAATCGAGACTGCCGAGTCGGTCGGCAGTCCTGCCGCAGCGCCGTCCTCGCCCCGTCCTCCCAAGTGAGACGAAGACGCTGGCGCGGGGGACGAAGAGGCAGAATGACGAGGAGAACGACGAGAACGAGGAAGAAGACACCGCTGATAGAAAAGATGCCCGGAGTCCTATCACGCATTCCCTGGTGGCAGTGTTGCCGCAGCTGTCTGTCAATGAGGAAAAGGGAAGGAGAACAAGAGGGGAGCAGAAAGAGTCGGCAGCATGGCTGCCAAGACTGCTTGCCCAACAGCGTGAAGTTGTATTGGGCACTGGCGATGTGTTGAAACTCCTAGTGACCTCGAATGGTCAAGGCTAACGATCCACCGCACTATGACAGATTGGGAGGAGGAGAAAACGCATGGAAAATGGTACGCGCAACACCCACCTTCGTGATACTAATACGAACAACTAACCAGCATGCGATTCGGGGTGTAGGGTGCCATGCTGTGCCAGTTTCTGTTGGTTCTGTCACAGGAAGATTGAGTGGGCCAACACGTCATTTGGGATATCGCGTGCGGCGCTCGGCGCAACCTATGCTGCAACACATAACATACGTCGGCGCTTGTGACGACCCATGGCGCAAACTTTGGAGAAACTAATCGCATATCTCGGCCAAGCCTAGATACAACCCTATGTCACAATTCATGGTGCATGCGTCGGCGAAGCCAAGGGAAATCCTCAAGCGCAACCTACGGCGACCCCTGGTGCAACTCATGGCGCGAAACCGCTAATGTCCACGACGCCGAACACCATACACTCGACGTCAGGATGTCTTCGTGACGCGGGCCCCAGAACTCCCCTGGGGCCAACTCTGAATCCTGGCCCGACTCTTGACCCGATGGCCCTGGGGCCCGAAACGGCCTCCTAGAGTAGAAGGACGAACCGCTACATAAACATGATTGAACTTTCGGAGATCCGCGTGTATTTCTTGGATCGGCGCTGGACTCGTTCCCTGGCGCGCGGAGCGCGTCAGGGATCCGACAGTTTCTGTTTTATGCAGCTGTGTATTCCCTGCGGCAGCCCAAAACTGGGGCACGAACCCGTGGCCGCGATTGTTTTCATAGCGTAAAACGCCAGGGGCGTCTGGGTCTCGCGCGCGGCGCGCGCCAGCCCGCCTGCTCCCCGGACGGGTAGGTGCCGACGATCTCGATGAGGGAGCCGCTGGACAGCGCGGCGGCGGGGAGCGGTTGCTGCTGGAGGTCCTTGGGGGGGGGGGGGGGCGCGGCGCGCGGTTCCTACCCCTCCGCCCGCGGGGAGGGCCGGGGGGAGCAAGCAATTGGCACTTGGGGGAAATTTGGGAGGAGAGAACGGAAGGGGCGGCGACGAGGAACATCAGCAGCAGGGGGGAAAGAGGGGGGAGCTCAACTAGGGTCTGTGGGGACCTCGAATGGGCGTCCCAGGGTCCTCCCCCGTTGTTCTCCTCCTCCCCCTTGATTTTCTGGCCTCCTGATGGCAGTGGTGTGCTCCGCGCGCTGCCGCTTCCCCCAGGGCTGGTCAAAAACCAACAGTGGGGGAGTATAACATAAAAGTAGAACGACAAAACGGCAAACAGACAGGGAGGAGGGAGAGACAGGAGAGGCTTCCCATCAACCCGATCAATCATAATCTCAAGGAGGAGCAAACAGAAGAGCGAACGGTGGGCGTGGTGCCAGCCGAGTGGCGGCGGCTGGCGACGGAGGCCTTCGGGCCTGAGCGTGGGTCCCCCCTCTTTCGGGTCGCTTGGCCCTGTTTGGCCACCGCCCTCGAAGGTGCCCTAAGGGCCCCCCGCAGGGGAACCCTGGTTCCCTGAAACGTCTGAAGACAAGCGTGGCAAGAGGGAAGGCGTTGGCGTCTGGCGCAGAAGCGCGGAGGTGAGGCAGGTGGAGGTACTGACGAGTGGCAGAAACAACGAGGATTGAAACTGGGAGGTGGGAAGTGGCTTGCAGCAGAAGTTGGCGGCGGGTATGTTTGGCGGTGGCGGCGCCTTTTCATTCTCGCCGGCAGGGAGGGCACAGTGGGCCTTGCCCTCAGCTCATATCAGCCCCAACAGACGTCCCCGGACTCAAAAGCGGGATCCCCCACTTGAAAACAGACGTAGGGTTCCCGGCGCGTTGACCCTGGCACCGCCTGGGGGAGTTCCACCGAGCGGGAGAGAAGTTTTCGCCCTCCAGGCGGCGGCGGGACGCCCCTCGTCCGCCGGGAGTGGCATAAAGGCCTCACGTCCTGAACATAGGAAGCGCCCAAAGCGTCCACCACCCCCAAGACTGGTACCCTCCCCTGCGGAGGCGGGAGTAGGGTACCCAGATCACGGGAGCGGTGGTCGCTCGGGGGGGTTCCACCGTGCTTGGGGCTGGCATGGGGGGGTTACACAGCGACCCTACGCGGCGGCTTACGCGGGCCACCAGCGCGGCACGGTGCATTGAAAACGAGTGCGCTTCGACCTTATGCGAGCAACTTGCGCGCCGATGTCGGCACAGACGACCCCTTTTTTGCCTCGCTCAAGTGTCTCCCAATAGAGCCCTACGAGGGCTCCCTGATCCCCCCCCAAGAAGCCCCCAAGAAGCCCTCAAGAGGAGAAGCCGGAACTGCCACCCATTCAGAACCCCGCCTCACACGGCCCTCGACGCAGCCAGCAAGCCCCAAGGGCCACCAGAATCCCCCCCTAAAGCCCCCAGGCAACTCGGGGAAGATGGGGGGGAAGAGGAAGAGGAAGCTGCACCCAGACTTCGGTTGGCTATTTCACTGCGTGGGCCCTGGAGCTCTCGAAACCACCCCCGGAGCCGACTTTTCGTCGCGTGCGTGTTACTGATAGCGTCATAGCCCGACAGTCTCCCTGGAATAAGAAATCAGGAAAAACGAATGCCCCGCTTCGATGTGCTACTTTAATTTGTCGTATGGATCTGGGTCCTAAATGCGAGGTCGCTGCGCACCACTTGCCCGCTCATGCGTATCTCTCCTCCTCCTACTCCTCTGCCTCCTCCTCCTCCGCCTTCCTACTCCCTTCCTTTCTCCCCTTCCTTATCCTGCTTCACGCCTTTGTGTTGTTGGGCCCTCGTTTTGATTCCGCAGCGCTGTACGTCCCGTCCTTCTTCTCCCAAATCTCCTCCGCTCCTCATCCTCTTACTTCTCCTCCTCCTCCTCCTCCTCCTCGTGTAGGGAGCTCCACGCGCATTACCACCACCCACGTCGGCACACCCCTAGTTCTGATCGTGCCCCATAGGGAGCCCCGATGGGCGCAATCCCATTGGGACGCCCCCGCCAATTTCCGCGCACCCCTCACAGGGATCGCGGCCCACTGGGAGCTCCACCTACGACCCCCACAGGAGGCTCCACCTACGGCCCAGCGGGCGCGATCGCACGCGCCACCCCGCCCACTTCGGCACACCCCTCGCATGGATCGTGCTCCACAGGAAGCT